CTGAGGGAGCCTGAGCCAGGCAGTTAGAGACCCCAAATGGGTGTTTGGGTTCAGGGAAGGCCCTGAATCCCGGAGGGCTGCGTGGAGCATTTGGTGTCCTCCCCTGTGCCAGTGTCAGCCCTCCCAGTGACTTTGCTTCTCCCAGGGCCTGTGGAAGCAGCTCCCCTGCCCCTCGCTGGATCCGGTCACTTCTCCCCAGCCACACAGTCCCCTGGGAATCCCAGAAGATGGTGGATGTAAAATGGGTGTTTTCCATCTGGAAAAGCTTGGAGAGGGGCAGTTGAGCCTTCGTTCGTCATTAGATCCCCACGCGCCGCGGCAGATCCGATTTCCTCGTTAATTAGGTGCTGATCATTTTCTCCACCTCATTACTCGCCGCCGCACCTAGAATTTATACCCATTTGGTTTAATCGCCTTCGCCTGGTTAAATTCCGAACAGCCACTCATTCAGAAAGGGAATTACTACCTCGCTTTGCCAGGACTTCCACTTTGCCTTAATTTCCCTGGAGCCTCGTTTGCTTCCCTCTGCCTCTTCTCCCTCTCCGGGCCCCCTTGGGCCTGCCTGGGAGCGTGTGGCGCTCGTGCCGTGGTGCCTCGCTCCACGTGCGAGTGCCATGGCCACACACAGCCACTCCAGAGGCCGTGGAAGGAGCTGGGGGGCTCAAGCATTGCCTGTCGCAGCCTCACACAGTCCAGGCTGGAAAATGCACAGTGGGAGAATAGGGACAACTAGAGCTGCTTCACTGCCACACTCTTGTCATCCCGTTGGGCTTTTTTGTGACACTCTCTTGTGCCCTTTTTGCTCCTCAAAGGAGCAAAGTGGGAGAAAGTCCTTTGCTTTGGGGGCAAACCCCATTCCTTATCTGTCTGTTTTCACTGGCGAGTATTGCTGAGATTTCAGCCAATTTCACTTGCTAATTTCAGTTTAGAAGAGGCTCTTTGTGTTTTGATTGTTTTAGGAAGTTGTTTGGGAGTTTGTTCTTTTATCTATATTTATATAACTAAACCTTTCCACGCTTCCTGGTGCAGTTGCCCAGGGCAGTAAGTTCATGCCCTGGGCATGAACTCAGAATCCCAGTGCTGGAGCACAGGTGCTGCAGATGCCACACAAACCCAGGAGCACAGACAGGGTTAGAGCACCCAGGGGTTTATTTGGTGCCAGACAAAGGGCTGGGAGCCCCTGGGTGACGCCAGCAGGCCGTTCTGAGCGCAGACCCGCCGTGTTCCCGCAGTGCTACGCGGAGAGGGAGGCTCTCCTGCGCGCCACCAGGCTCAGCATGGCCCGGCTGTCCGTGCGGCCATCGCCCAGCACGTACGGCTCGGCCTCGCTGAACTGCACCTCGAAGCCAGCAGCCCCCACGGCCTCCTCCACCTCGTGCCTCTCCAGGCGCAGGCACGAGAAAACCTGCTTGTTGAAGGTGTAGTAGGTCTCCCCGAGGACGGTGAGCAGCACCAGGTGCCCCCCCGGCCTCACCAGGGTCCCGACGTTCCTCAGGGCGCTGCGGAAGGTGGGCAGGTCCTTGCAGGCAGCCTCCAAGCACAGGGTGGAGACGACGCAGTCGGCGGGCGGCAGGGACACGGGGCCCGTGGGGTTGGCTTTGGTCACGTCGCACTTCAGAACCCGCTTCACCTTCTTCCTCACTGTCTCCTGTTTCTCAGCCCATTTCTCCCTAGCAAGAAGTGCACAAACAGGTACATGAAGGCTCATTCTGGGGTTGTTTAGCATCTGCGGCTGCGTGGCCACCGTGGTCGGTGGCGGGCGGTAGGACACCAGTCTCACCTGTCCCCTTCCAGCTCACAGACATATTTCACCACTGGCCCCCAGTCAAAGGCTCCTGCTTCGTTCTTCAGCCACTTCTCCAGCTCCTGACGGTTCCTCTCGGTGTAGTCCAAGGCAGTGATCTCCTGGAAGCGCTCGCAAGCAGACAGAAGCTGGTAGATGGTGGGGCCACAGCCAACATCTATCAGGGTGTCACCTCTCACCCCGTCTAGTGCAGAGTGGGGGCAAAACATCCTGTGACCACGGAGCCTGCCCCAGGGCAGAGACACCCCAGGGCAGAAACTGCCCAGAGCCCCTCGGGCTGTGCTCCCCCAACCCAGAAATGCGACCCCAAGCGTTACAGACCCATGGCACACCTCCATCCCCAAGGGCTCTCTGCCCACAGCCCAGCCCAGGGGCAACCCCTGCAGCGGGTCCAGAGCCCCCGGCCCTGCTCCTGGGGCAGAGGCACTGCCCCACACTCCCCAGCCCTGGCTGGGTTTGCTGGTGTTCCCAGGAACTGTGACACAGCTCCAGCCGCAGTTCCTATATGCACGGAGGGATGTTTTTAACCAAGCAGGTGTGTCTGAGTATCTCACACAGCTCACTGCTGGGGCAGCCCACCATACGGCACCGTCCAACGCCTCCGACGCCTCGGGAGTACTCACCTAAGGAGAACATTTTATACAGGCTCCTCAGGTTCTGCATCAGAAACGCGTTTGCACCTTTCTGTTTGTCACTCATGCTGTAATATTCATTCAGATATGCCTGAGAGTCGAAACTCTGCTCGTACACCTCTGCCTCCGTGAAGATCGCTGGCGCTTCCATCTTGCCAAGAGCCAACTCTGCTCCTCTTTCCTCTTGTGCCACGTGGGCATAGTCCCTGTTGTCATCTCCCTCTGGTGTCCTTTGCTCCGGGTTCCGCTTGGACACGCTCCTGTTTACCTGCAGAATTTCTCTTGCTCTCCATTCTTCTGCTGAGCTTTACTTTTTCCCTAAACTCCTTCGCCGTCCCTGCCACGAAGGGGCAGCAAAGCCCCACGCGAGGCAGGTCCCGCACAGCTCGTGCTCTGCGCACTCGCCCGGCGGGAGCCGAAATGATCAAACAGCTTCAGGCTCGTTACTCCGAACCCGTATAATCGCCCTTGGCTGTTTTAAAGCCCTGTCGTTAGGAGTGACGGTGGAGGAGCCGCTCATCGTCCTCAAAGGGATGTGGACCCCGAGGTGGGCTTGCCTCACAACCCTTCACAGGCAGACCTGCTGCTGGGGATGTGAGGTGTGAAAAGCGTGTCAGCTTGAGAGATGAACACAGTAAAGAGGTTTTCTTCTGACAGCAAAGCCAACAAACAGTGCTCCCTGCTACCACGGCTCTGAGACATGTGGCTAAAACGGTCTCTACAGCCCCGTGCAAGCCCTGGCAGCCGGGGAAGCTGACCCAGGGGCATTTGCAAGTGCAGTGCTTATGTTTCAGTCCTTGGAGTCTGTTTTTTGCTCATTAAATGACATGATTTGGGGACAAAAGTACAAACTGTCAGAGGCCTCAGCGTATTTCTGAGCAGTAGCAGTGCAGCTTCTCTGGCTGGCAAGCTTTGTCCTTGCCATCAGCCCGGCACTGCCTCCTGGGAGCCATAGAACCATGGAATAGTTTGGATTCTAAGGGACACCTTCCACGTTGCTCCAAGCCCCATCCAACCTGGCCTGGAACACTTCCAGGGATGGAGCAGCCACAGCTTCTCTGGGCAACCTGTGCCAGTGCCTCAGCACCTCACAGGGAGGAATTTCTTCCTAATCTCTAATCTAAACTTGCTTTCAGGCAGTTGAAGCCATTCTCCCTTGCCCCGTCACTCCAGGGCCTTGTTAGTAGTCTCTCTCCATCTTTCTTGTCGGCTCCCTTCAGGTACTGGAAGCCCCCCAAAGAGCCATCCCCCAGGCCAGTGGCAGCCCCCTGGACAGCTCTGCTGCTCTGGCTTCTCAGCCCTGTGAAAGCTCAGCTCTAGGAGTCTGATTTCCATTTCCCCCATACTCTTGTTTCAGTCAAAGTGTGTGATTAGGCCTGTGTGAGCTCCATTGTCATCTCCACCTAAGTGCTGCTCTGATGGATGGAAACAGCGTCTTGATGTTTATACCGAGGAGCACATTGCTTTGCTTTCCAGGATAACACACAAAATCTGCCA